CTCCCTCATATTCCATTTAACAAGATTTGACCTCTTAATAACCAGCTCATCCACTTGATTTGTTTCAGTTCCTTTATCCCTCCCCCAGCACACACACTCACACACACACAGCCTGCCCCAGACCATCATCAAGCCTTGTGGTTTCTTTTAACTCATTACTTCATCTTTCTCTCATAGTCTTCTCTCCCTCATGGTTACTGTTTGACTATTCCCCACACACAACTTGCTAAGTCTAATCTTTAGATTCTTATGGGAATTTCTAATTGCCCTCATCCCTTTCTTTTCATGCCCTGGCCTCATTTCCTCCTCCCTTTGAAACTCTGCTTTAAGCCACTTCTAGACACTTCCATTTTAGAGGTGAAAAGAATCTTAAGAAATCATTCAGTAAAACCCCCTGCCCGGCACGTAGGTTGGGCATAACAACGAACCTGCATTTTACATACACGAGATAGAAGGCGGTCAAATGATTTCACGAAAGCTCACACTGCCACTTCATCCCTAAAACCTCCCCTAGACTAGCCTGCCCACCTCTCTGGCTTTGCCTCCTCTCATAGAGCTAGTCCTCCCATATCATATCACTTTGGTGTCTGTCTGGTATCTGTTACCTGAAAGCACCTGTATTTTCATTTGTTCATTTTAAGGAAGAGGGACAAGTCTGCATATTTTAATTCACTCCAACACTGACTGGGCATGCATTTAATATTGCTGAGTCTGTCAGTCAGTGTCTGTCCATATCTCTCCTTACACATACACCTTATAGTAAGCACAGCCATTTCAGGTCTCTTTTAATGCACCCCACTCCGAACCACAGACTCAGGCTTAAAATATTTGGACATTAGAAAACAAAACAATTTAGCTAATTTCTACTTAATTAAGGCTTAACTACTACTCAGTGAAACACAGATTTTTCTTTTATAGAATCTATAAAAAGTATCATCATAAGCTATTGCTAATGCATTAGAAGGCTAAAGGCAATTATCAATGTGGTCACCACACCCCCTAAATCCCATATTAATCCTATGGAATCTAGTCTAAAAAACAGCCACCAGTCAATCTGTGCCTCCACAGCTCCTGAAGCCCTCCCTCCTAGACACCCTATGCTGTAAGTTTGACAATCAATTCTGACAAAGCCCCAGTATAACCTACCCATAGGCACAAGACCTATCTTATTCCAATAATCCACAAGTATTTATTGAGCCTCTACTATGTGCCAGACACTGTACTAAGTACTGCAAATATAATGGTGAACAAGATGCTGTCCCTGCTTGTAAAGGATTTTAAAATCTAGTGGGAAGAGGGACAGAGGCAGCACAAGGATCTATAAGAAGGTCATGGGGAACAATGGGGTATAGTGGAAAGAGCCAAGAAATCTCAGTTCTAATTCAGTTTCCTACTACTCTAGTAGTCTAAGATTTGGCAAGCCATATTCTCTCTCTGGGCTTTAGTCTTCTCATCCATAAAACAAAAGAATTAGATAAGATGATATTTAAGGTCCTTTGGTGGTCTAGTAGTTAAGATCTGGTGCTCTCACGGCCATGGACCAGATTCGTTTCCTGGTCAGGGAACCACACCACCTGTCTGTCAGTTGTCACACTGTGGCAGCTGCATGTTGCTGTGATGCTGAAAGCTGTGCCACCAGTATTTCACGTATCAGCAGAGTCACCCATGATGGACAGGTTTCAGCAGAGAGTAGGAAGAAGGACCTGGCCACCGATTTCCGAAAAAATTGGCCCTGAATACCCTAGGAATAGCAGAAAAGCACTGTCTGATGTAGCAGCAGAAGAAAGGATGGCACAGAAAGACTGGACAGGGTTCCCCTCTGCTGTACACAGGGTCACTAGGAGTCGGAATCAATTCAATGGCACTAACAACAAAAGGTCCTTCTCAGCTCTAAGAGTCCACGTTGTAAAAGAAGATAAAATAGTGGCAGCAATATTCACCGAAGGCTTATCATGCGCCAGACATCTTGCTAGGCACCATTTACTTAAGATACGGAATGGCAGTACTGGCATTACTGCATAATTTTCTTTTTTTTTATTTTTTAAACTGGAAATATTTGATTATATTTATATGTGTGTGTATGTGTATTTATTTTTATGGTTATACCCTATTTCCAGGAAGACTTTAAAGTGACTTACAGTAAAAATAAAGACTGTGCCTTAACAGAGAATCAAGACCACATTAAGTAATAAATATGGGAAGAGTATACCAAAAAAAAATTTTTTTTTTGTGAGGAAGATTAGCCCTGAGCTAACATCTGTTGCCAATCCTCCTCTTTTTGCTGAGGAAGATTGGCCCTGGGCTAACATCCGTGCCCATCTTCCTCTACTTTATATGCGGGATGCCTGTCACAGCATGGCTTGATAAGTAGTGCATAGGTCCGCGCCCAGGATCCAAACTTGCAAACCCCAGGATGCCAAAGCGGAGCACGCGAACTTAACCACTACTCCACCAGGCTGGCCCCTAATCCCCCTTTTTTTGGTGTGGTAAAATATATATAACACAAAAGTTACTATTTTAACCATTTTTTTTTTTTTTATAATTTTATTTATTTATTTTTTCCCCCACAGCCCCAGTAGATAGTTGTACGTCATAGCTGCACATCCTTCTAGTTGCTGTATGTGGGACGCGGCCTCAGCATGGCCAGAGAAGCGGTGCGTCGGTGCGCACCCGGGATCTGAACCCAGGCCGCCAGCAGCGGAGCGCGTGCACTTAACCGCTAAGCCACAGGGCCGGCCCTATTTTAACCATTTTAAGTTTACAGTCACATTGTTGTGCAACCATTGCCATGCTAATTCTTTTTTAATATATCCATGGGCTACATCTCATTGTTAGCACTAACAACTCCATATTGCTTTCCTAAATATCATTTGTAACTGAAACTTAATATTTTCTTATCTAAGAAAAAAAATATGTTGACTAAATAAGAGATGCAATTCACATATTACCGTAATAGATTTTCCAACCTAAGGTTTTGTTTCCATGACATCAGCAAACTATTTCCTAAAAAGATACCCCTACCAACCAAATCCAATTAATTGTTTTAATAACTTTATTAATAACTGAACTCAGCCAACAACCTTGGATATTTGGAAAAAACGAACGCTGAGATCCAGAAATGTGTAATACCAATTGTAAACATTTCTTAACAATAAAATGTTAAGTGAATAATTTCCTATAAATTAGTCCCACTGTGGCTCAATGATATAGGGTAAGGGCAAGGATGGACCAAGGAGCAGGAAAAGAAGACATATTACAGATATTCCAGAGCCACACACAATCAAAATCACACCCCTCTGTATAGACTTTACATTTTGCCCTTTAGAGAAGAATTTTCTAAGTTCCTTGCTAGACATTTCTAAGTAATGAAATATTAACCTGTTACTCCCTTTAAAAGAATGAATTACAAGAGTAGAGACTGAAACTGGTGAGAAGTAATTCACCTGTTCAATATCCACTCCAACTAATTGGGACAACTTGGCCTTGGAATCATATTTGGATTTTAATAAAAAAATTTTTCCAAGTCATTTCAAATTATGAGATATTAATTAACTAATCACAGATTGCCTAAAGCAATATTTATTTGTTTCAGGGAGTATTATTGTAACTTGATTGGAATGAATGATATGATCTTTTTCTGTTTTCAGTAGATCCCTCTTATAATTGTTAAGATACGCCTGCTATAAATGGGGGGAAATCCATATACACAACAACGGCTGACAACCCTTAGTCAAGCAATCTTGAATTTTTTAACTTTAGAGGACATCTATAGTTCAAGCTCATATGCACAATGCAAGAGTTTCATCTTCATCATAAATGGAAAGTACAGTGGCTTACATCTTACTTATTGGGTCCTGATTCCATCAGTCAAGCATAAGTGGCTACAATACAGTAGCCATTCAACAAGTGTCAGATGGGCCTTCCTGGAAGAAGGAGTTACCACTACCTAGAGAAGGGGAGGCATTAAAGGCAAGGGGAGGTTTAGTGAATTTTACTCTCAGAAATAACAGGAAAATCAGACTGCTCCAAAAGAGCATATACAAAAAGGATTCAGATACAAAAACAACATCAGAAATCACAATAGTACATACTTTATAACATTCTTAGTAGCTTTTTTTGGTCCTATTTATTAGTGACTAGCAACAAAAAACCTTAAGATAAAAAGGGTCCAGGTGTATGTTCATAGGGGCAGCAAGAATGAGAGATCTACTTCATAGTGCTGCTGGGAAGCAAGAGAGGAACCCTAGAAATAAAGGTGAACAATGCTACCTTTTTGTTGTTTAAAAGACAACAAAATGGGGTAAAGATTGTGTCTTTTCATCTTTATATTAAAATAGAGAACATACAGAGAGGCTCACAAAATGTCTGTTGAATGAATTATGACTTCCTAGCTTCCTTCCTCCATTTCTTCTTCCCTTCCTTTCCTTCCTCCTATCTATCCATCCTTTCTTCTTTTTTGCTTCCATCTAGCCCTTCATTATTCCCCCATCATCCAACAACCATCCAATTCCTCCCTCCTTTCCTCCACAGTGCCTGCAAAGTCTAAAGGATCAAGAGATTCCTTGACAAGGGTCTTAAAAACTTTTCCGTTTGCCCTCTTGAAACCTATCAAGATATATTTTAGTTCTAGGCATTGAAAATAAAATCAACTCTGGCCTCACTTCCTACTAAGAGAAAAAAATCCACAGAGAGAATCCATGGATATTGTCAGCTGAAGAAGGCTTTGTTGCTTCCTCGCAGGATAGAAAGGTCACACTTTGCAGCACAGCAATTAGCACAGTCCTACCCAAAGGATACCAGAAATGGGTAAAATTTATTTTTCTTTAAAAATTCAGGTCAGCCCCTTGTCCCAATCCATATTTGAAAACCAGTTCCCATCTCTTTTCCCAACTCACACCTCCCCCAAAGTAGCTACAACAAACACTTTTGCTCCCCCAGTCCCTTCTGTCTCATACCTCAAAATGAAAGAACCCTGACTGAATTCAGTATCAGTCTCTTACCCTGCCAAGAAAGCTAAGGAGTAGGAGTTGTTCTTGGAAACAAATGCCGAGCGATGTGTCTGTGTCATCTTGCCTCGTGAAGGTTCTTCATTCTCTGAATCTGAGAGACGTGCAGGACACTGGCAGAAGACAAGGGAGACAACACTGTCCATTTGGGGTTCCCATGGAATCTCCCATAGCTATCATTTCAAATCTCTCTATTATATGTCACTTCTCTCTGAGCTCCAATCTATGTTTCCAGCTGCCTCCTGGAGATCCCAATCTGGATATCTCAAATGTAGCTCAAACTTAATATATCTAAAATCAAACTCACTATTTGTCTTCTCTAAGCCCCACTACCAACCCAGCTAGAAGCCTCAAGGTCATCTAGGAGACTCTCCTTTTCCTTTCTTTGAAGTCATAACAACATCGTATAGAGGTTGTGAGTACCCCAACACTTCCAGATATTTTATTTCATTTACTCTTGATATCAGCCCTATTAAGAAGAGATTATTACCTGTCTTTTGCAGATGGCAAACTGAGGCTCAGAGTACAGGAGTTAATTTGCCTAGGATTGTAGAATTAATAAGTAGCTAAATCCAGGTACTTAAAGCCAGAGCGTCTGTCTCCAAACTGCCTCCATGCTGTTTTCACTCTACTCCATTCTACTCTTAAAATGTCTCTCAGATCTAACTGTTCCCATATATATTCACTGCCAGTGCCTTTCCTTAGATTCTTATCATCTTCTGCCTGGACTATTGCAATAATCTACTTACTGGTCTCGCTCTCTCCAGCCTTCCTTCCCTCCAATCCCTTACATGCTATCAAGCACACAGACAGAATCCTATCACTCCCCTGCCTAACTGTTAGTGACTTCAGGATAAAGTCTAAACACCTCGCATGATACAATAACCTTCACAAACTAGACCCAAACTTCTTTCACAGTTTCTCTCCCACCAGTTCCCACCCAGGGAACTCCTTGAGCCCTGGCACAAACAAACTACTTTCTATTCTCCACATGTACCACCATAGTCTTTCAAAACCTCTCTTCTTTTGGACATGCTATATTCCCTTTGCCTAAAATTCCCCTTCCACATTCTCTGCCTATAAAATACTCCTTGGCCTTTCAGAGAAATGTTAAATGTCACTTTCTCTGCAAGGACTTTCAAATACCCCTACAGTCAGCTTTTCCCATCTTGGTGATACTCATTTACCTTCATTTTATTTTAGAGTCTCTTTTTGAGTCTTTCAATTTACATTTGAAGTTTCTTGTACACCTGCCTTTTGCATACAACATATAGTGAGGATTTGTCTCATGATTCAATATGAGAGTTCTTTTTAGGGGAAGCAACTAATCATACTGAACTGTAGCTTCTTATTTAGGAGTCTGTCTTCTGCTTTGAACAATAAACTCTACGAGAATAAGTGACCATCTTTTTTTTTAAAACTCCCAAACCATTACATAGTAGGTAAACAAAAAATATCTAATCATCTAATGATTAACCAGTTATCAAAGTAAGAGTTAGAGACAGAGGCATACAAGGCATCTTTTGGCTCAGAGTACCCTGCATTCCTTAAGTGCTTTGTTATTCTCTAGGCTAATAGGCACATACATACAATAGGCTATGTTTCCTAACAGTTAGCCTTTGAGAAAGAGTTGAAGGATTACAATTTACAGAGAAGCTTTTCAATTTTGTAGGGCATCACTCCTTAAAGAACCCTGTTGTACAAACTATTCAGCAGAGAAACTTTAATAGCACTAACCTACTATTAAATTTTATATGATATTCTCTTCTCAATTCTGAGAAAAAAGAAAAAGCTTTGACATCAATAGACTCAACAGCAGATAAATAATGACAATTTCTGTCTATTTAGGTCTTACAGCATAATCAATTCAGTACCAAATAAAAGAATGTCCAAATTCCAGCTCTATTACTTAGCTATCATTGTCACTGTGGGTTAGTTGCTTTATCTTTCTGAGCCTCAGTTTCCTCATCTATAAAATAAAGATTTCTCCATCTACCACATAGATTGTGATAAATCATTAAAAACACCTAGTACATTAGCTAACAAGTAGTAAGTACTCAACAAAAGATAGATTTTGTTTGTATCAATTTAAATCCTATTAATCTTTTAAGAAAAAACTTTAGTATTATAATAGACATACACTAGGTTCTTTTTAATTGTTGAAAAATAAATTTACATTATTATAAATAATTATATAGACAGAAGGTACTCCTCCATCCCTTTATATTTCCACTCCCACAAAATCTAGAATCATAAGATAGGAAAAGATTTACCTCTCATATTTCACTTTGGATAAAAATAAGCCTATAGCAGTATGGATTCCTAAAATGGTACAAAACATGCATAATGAAATCCCTGAAGTGATATTTTAAAAAATGTTCTGTCTAAAAAAATCAAAAGAATGATAATACCCAGAGTTGGCAAGGGTGTGAGGAATTAGTTTGGTACTTTCGTGTACTATTGGTGGGAGTAGAACTATATACAAACTTTCTGGAGTAATAAGTACTAAAAGTCTTAAACAGGATACTCTCTTTGACCTGGTCATTCCACTTCTGGTAGTTCATTCTAAGGGACTAATGACACAAGTGGATTTCATCACAGTGGTGGCTTAAGATAGCAAAATATCAACAGGAGATTAATTAAATAAATTCTACAGTAAAGAATACTAAGAGACCACTGAATAATGATATGGGCTTCTTTATTTACATGGAAAGACATCCACGATTTATGGCTTATAAAAAAAAAGTTATAAAACAGTATGTACAGTTGGTTGCATTTTCTGAAAAGAGAAACAATATATAGTATGTATGTATATAAAAACTTAGAAAATAAGTCTGGAAGGATATTTACCAAAATGTTTATAGGGGTTGTCTCTAGGTTGTGGGACGACAAGCAGTTTTTCACTTTCTGCTTTATAATCTTTGGTATGACTATAACTGTTATACCAAATTGTTTTCCAACAATTCACATTATTATTGGTATTAACTGTACCATAACAAATCGTAATAAATTATACATTGTGCCCATTTTATTTCCATTCTGCACAAATAACAACAGATGATAATCTCTGCTTCTAGAATAATCACTTTCCTTCCTCCATTTGAATTCAACTTGATAAACATGTACCAAACACTTGTGATGCGGAAGGTACTATGGGAGATTTTAAAATAGGTAAGACACATTTCCTACATTCAACAGACCTACAAATTTAGTAGAAAACACAAACACACAAATAACCACAAAAGGAAGAATGAAATAAATCCTGTAAAAGTTACAAAGTAGAGAGAGGAATTTGGGAGGGGAGAGAGTAGATGATAAAAGTGGAGAAATAAGTAAAGAATCCCTCTAGGTTGTATGAAGGTGACAACTTTTGAACTGGACATGGAGAGATGAATAGCCTTTCAACAGGTAAGCTGGGTGGCATTTCAGTGAGAGGACAATGCAAGAGTAAAGACTCTAAGGAGGGAAAGCATAGGGTATATATTTGGGGGAAACAAACAGCTCTGTTCCCTAGAGTTTTGGGATGTAAGCAAGGATGGAAAGATAAGCTAGACTAATACTAAGGACCTGAATGTTGGGGTGACGAGTTCTCATTTAATTCCACAGGAAATGGGGAGTCACTGAGGTTTTGGGGCAGGAGAGTGAAATGATCAGTCCAGCTCTAATCATAATCATAGTACTCTTTATATAAATATAATCCTTCATCTAGCTTTCCACTGAACCACTTGATCTTCAGTTCCAATTTGAATGTAGCCTTGGCTAAACTAAATGAAATTATTTGTTCAACATCAAAAACTCTTAAAAGATATTGAAAGCAGGGCCGGCCTGGTGGAATAGCAGTTAAGCGTGCGTGCTCCGCTGCGGTGGCCTGGGGTTCGCAGGTTCAGATCCCGGGCGCACACCAATGCACCGCACCACTTGTCAAGCCATGCTGTGGCAGCGTCCCATATAAAGTAGAGGAAGATGGGCGTGGATGTTAGCCCAGGGCCAATCTTCCTCAGCAAAAAGAGGAGGATTGGCATCAGTTGTTAACTCAGGGCTAATATTCCTCACAAAAATATATATATATATATTTAAAGCAAAATTAGAGCCATTTAAAAGTCCTCAAAAATATAAAAGCAAACAGAAAAAAAGATAAAATCACAAAAACCTAAAACTTTAAGTGTTCATAAATGAGATTTTATTTAATGTGTTTTTGCATAGAAAATTTTGTGAAACTGGCTATTACCAATAAAAATGAGTCTGAGAATTAGTACTTCCTGATTTCTTTTAAAATTAAAATTAGGTTGGGGCTGGCCCAGTGGCACAAGCGGTTAAGTGTGTGCACTCCGCTGTGGCGGCGCGGGGTTCACCGGTTCGGATCCGGGTGAGCACCAACGCACCGCTTGTTAAGCCATGCTGTGGCGGCATCCCATATAAAGTAGAGGAAGATGGGCATGGATGTTAGCCCAGGGCCAGTCTGCCTCAGCAAAAGAGAGGAGGATTGGCATTGGATGTTAGCTCAGGGCTGGTCTTCCTCACCAAAAGAAAGAAAAAAATTAGGTTGACGCAATTGATTTCTATTTCAAAGATGGTAGTGGCAAAAGAAAAAATAATTAAAGAAATTTCCCAATCTTGACATAAATTAAATCTAGAGATCATTTCCTAGAGGAAACCTGGATCCAGCAAGGCCAAAAACAGCAGGTTCTTTCTATCAAAGGACCACAGTGAAGGGTAAGCTGTCTTTGTTAAGACTGGTTTATCCTAAAAAGAAAGGTCCTTCTGGGTTGTTTTGCCAGAGAGCCCTAATGGACAGTCTGTTTGGGTGGAAGGTCAAAGTTGCAGTCTTTAGAGACCACAGACCACAGGTGGCGCTATTAGTCAGAAGACATACTATACGGCACAGGACTATCATATATTTTATTCTCGCCTGTCTAGCTAAATTCTGTCCTCTCCAGTAGCTAGTCTTTTTCCTTTTGTAGTTCCCAATGAACAGAGCATTAAGAGTACACGAGTATTTCATGTCTGTTAAATTGAATCTTTTAGAAGGTTGAAACTGTAAAATGCAAGGAGTTATTTTTAATAATTGAATAATAACAATTATTATAACTGGAATCAAAAAGCCCCACATGCATGTTGACAGTCAGCAAATACTATCAATCCAAGAAAATTTAAATAATTTCAATTTTTGAAGTTCAGGAAAAATGCCTTTGCAAAGAATAAACCAAAAGCACAGAGAAATTAAGTAACCTAGCCAAAGATGTACAGTCTGTTACAATGCTGGGACCTGTTTAAGAGGCAGATTTCTGGCCTAGAGATTTTTTTTCTCTATTCTGCTATGTTGTCTGTCTTTATAGTAAAGCTTTGTTAATTCTAGCTAATTAGAAAGATAACCTGAAATACTAACAAGCCTGAATCACAAAATATTTTAAAAGATATGACTCTAAAGATATACTAAGTACATACAGCAAGCAATAGAAAGTGTCCAATCCAATATGACTTACTAAAGAAAAAAAATTCAATTGCAATTCTCCATTTGAGTGTAATCAGTGGACTCTCCAAAAGTGCTTTCTTTTATAAGTTAAACATACCACTTACAACCTGTACCAGTAATTTGCTTGGTAAATATGTAAGGAAAAAAATCCAGGCAAGATTCAGCCCAATTAGAAGTCTAATTAGGTTAAGTTTAAACTAAATATCTAATCTAATATTAAGGACCTACCTTATATCTAGCACTGGGCTGCTTAGGGCATTATGAAGAACAAAGGGTAGTAAAATACAAGCTTTAAGGAAATCTAGTTCAGGATATAAGACATACAAAACTCAAATGTCAAATAACACATAAGTCAAAATGACAATATACGTTTAAACCTTATCACAAGTGGTATACTATACTAGGTTTTTCCTCTCATTCACCTTTCTCCCCCACTGCTTCCTTAATCTTTCCATGTAAGTCTCATTGTGCCATTCATAAATTATTTTCTCCAGCTCTCATCTGGATGCTAAGTTCTTCACTACTCTTAAGCTGCACAGTCATTGACTGTTACTGGTCTCATAGTTCACCAACGTAGGTTTTTCAGATCCCTGTCACCTGGGCTTAATTGCTAATTTTGAGGCAGATGTCCATTAAAAAGGTGATCTACTTACACGCTCCAGATTTGTTTTCAGTACTAATGGCTCATCTCTTTTTTTCTGTTCATCCATTCTCCTTTTCCCAGTTTCTGTATCCTCTGGTAACAGCTTGTGGATTTGATCTTCAGAGGTTTTCTCCTCTTGCAACTTTTCTTCTCTCAGCTACAAATACATATCACACCAGACAGTAGAGTTTTAGGCAACTATAGACTTAAAAGCATCTTATACTCAGTAGTCTATTAGAACAAACAGATCACATGGCAGTTTTGAGAATATTTTTCCCATTGGATATAAAGCCCTCTTAATTTTTAGATAAGTCTACTTTTACTTGACTCATGCCAAACATACACTTCATGGCTTAAGATTTAACTGCTCTGCATTCTTGAGCAGAATGAAACCATAAAAGCTAAGATAATACATATAATCAAAAAAGGTTTATTCACTCAGCCACAAAAGGCTGAACCTAAAAACTTTCCTTATTCCCATAAATCGGATATAACTGCATTGGACCAGGAGAACAGCAGATATGTAGGCCATAGAGGACCAGAGAAGCTGGGCTAAGCAAGACAGGTCTTTAAGCTTAGTGGCAACAGAAAAAATGACTTACCACAGTTGCAATGTCCTACAATTTATGCTATTATCTTGTGGTCCAGAGGATCGGTCAAGATACATGGTCTACAAAAAAATTTAAGGCAGAGGCATGCATATGCCCCTCATTTGGGGGAGGTAGCATGGCCTTATGAAAATAAGATGGGCTTTGGAATAAAAAACCCGGGTTCTAGTGGTTCTGTCACTTATTTACCAGCTATATGGTCTTGGGCAAATGAACCACCATATGCTCATCTACAAAATAGGGATAATGCTACTTTCTTTGCAGATAAATTGTGGTAAGAAGTAGATGAGATTAATAAAGTACTTAATATAGTGTCTTGCTGTGTACTTACAATACATCAAGAGTCCTCTTTCCTTATCTCCTTTTATTCTCTTTTCACTGGCCAGGGTTTTAATAAAATTTAAATGACATAATGTATATCAAAGCAATTACAGGCTACTAATATTTTTAATCATACTTGCAAAAAAATAAAGCTAAAGAATAAATATTTTTCATTGGCTGTTGCCTCAGGGTTAAAAAACAAAAACAACAATAACAATAAACAACAATAACGATTTAGTCTTATCTTTCCAATTTCTATAGGTCTGATTCCCATAAGCCCGAACTAATCTTTAACACATGAAGTCTAATTCAAGAGGTTACGAATATGCAAACAACACCATACACAATGCCATGCCAGGAGGAGATTCAAATGAAATAATGTACTCCAAACTCTGCCCAAGTCAAACAAGAACAGAAGAGGAAGAAAAGCAAATCGACAGCCAGGGAGAAAGCAAACCTAAGTCTATGCTAACTGCCCACATGGAAGAGCCACGCCTTTTGATGACCTTAGACGAGAAATTCTTGTTCAGCTACTTGGCCACAGCCTATACAAAGGGCATTTCCCTTTCAGAGGACAGAGAGGCCAAGTGACACAAAAGAGAACAGGTTTTCGCATCATAATAATTGTTATCATTGAGTGAACTCGAGGTGTCAGGTGCTGAGCTAAGTCCTGGACACACATTATCTCACTTAGGAAAAGCAAGGTTTAAGAGTTAGGCAATGTGTTCAACTTCACAGACCCATAGCCCTGGAGGTGGAATTCAAATCTAGGTTTATCTCAGTGGTTCCCAACCAAGTATGATTTTGTCTTCCAGGATACACTTGGCAAGGTCTGGAAGCACTTTTGGTTGCCACAACTGAGGGAGTGGGGTGTATGTGCTACTGGCATCTAATGGGTGGAGGCCAAGGATTGCTTCTAAACCTCCTAAATGCAGAGGAGAGCCCCCAACAATATGTATATACACAGATGCTGCTATTTAAAAAAAACCTTCCTTTTTTATATATTTTAAGTGTTATTTTGTGTAGTGCTTAATGGTGTTTGCATACTATGTCCTCTGGCTTTTCTAGGTTGTAGAATGCATCCTTCTGCCTCCTAATAATGTTTATTGCTGCTCTCAAAGTTTTTGACAATGGATTTGTGTTGCTGGCAAAACAACCTTTTCATTGTAATGTTGAGTCTCTGCTAACACAGCATCATCTTAAAGCTAAAAATTTACAAAATTGAAAAACCCATATATCCACTTAAATCTTCACATGAATCATGTTGGTGTTTCCTCTATACTGCGTTCTGTAGAAGTTATTTTTTTATGCCTTTTGGTGGTTATTTATAAGGACTTGAGAATTTGGTGTCTAGAAAAGTTTTTATACTCAGGGAAAATGCCTCAGGGAGTGTCCGAAAGTAGCATATAAACGAATAAGAAATATCAATAGCTGCTGTTTATTGAACTCTTCTATGTTCCAGGCATTAAGTTTATAGAGCTAACCTCATTTAATCCTTAAGGGCTCTGTTTTGTATCTATCATTATCATTTCATAGACACAAAAATTAACACTCAGTGGTTATTTCCCAAAGTCACACTGATTGAATATTGAAGAGCTTGAATTTTAAAGCAGACCATTGGCTTCAGATACCAGGGTTTCTCAACCTCACCACTACTGACGTTTTGGGCTAGATGATTCTTTTTTAGGGGGTGCTGAGCAGAACCTGAGAAGAAAGCTTCTGTGTGAATACTTTATTGGGGAGCAGTAGTTAAGGATGGAGTAGCATAACAAGGCAAGACAGAGAGCCAATAAATGTGGTGAAACAGTTGGCCCAATAGTTGGCTACAGAGGAAAATATGAGAAACTGTATGAAATGCATCTCAAGACTGTCAGTCTGAAGTGAGAAAAAGGGAATATTATAGACTTCCACATCCCACTGGACCAAAGTTTGCTCCAAGGGGTGTTAAATACCCCTCAGGCTAGCTTGTGCAACTTGAGTCAATTCCTATAGTAGGCACTACAGTTGCCCAAAAAAGGGCAACAAGAGAAATTGTTGTCCTTTTTTCTTTTAGATATTTGGGTTTTTTCTCTAGCAATCTGTAGGAGTTATTTATATTTTTTGAATATGAGGCAGTTTTCAGGAAAAAAATGTTTCATACATATACATACAAGATATTTAAGTAAATATATGTGTGTATGTATGTGTATGCATATACTTGTTCCTCTCACACAGTAGCTAGCCTTTTTCACTCTCTTAGTGGTGTCTTTTGAAGACAAGAAGTTCCAGGTTTTAATGCAGTTTAATTTAGTGTTAGTGCTTTATATATCTTGTTTAAGAAATTCTCCCATGTTATCTTTAAGGAACTTATTATTTGACCTTTCACATTTAGATCTATAATCCTCTTAGAACTGATTTTTTAAAAATCAACTATGTTAAGCTATGATCTACATATGATAAAATGAACACATATGCAATGTATAACTCAATGAATTTTGACAAATGTTTATATCCATGTAACCATCTCCCTAATCAAGAGAAAGAACATTTTTACCACCCAAGAAAGTCCCTTCAAGCCCACTAGCAATCAATATCCCACCCTAACCAGCCCTAGGCAACCCCTAATCTGATAACTATGACTACTGATTAGTTTCACCTATTATAAAATCACACAGCATATATTCCTTTGTATCAGGCTTCATTCACTCAGTGTATTTTTGAGATCCATCCATGTTACTCAGTTTATTTTTAAGACATTCCTTTTATGGATAAGTTCTATTCCATTGTGTGAATATATCACAATTTGTTTATCCATTCAAGTGCAGGACATTTGAGTCGTATTTAATTTTGGGCTATTATGAATAAAGCTGCTATGAACATTCATGTCTTTTTGTGGACAGATGTTTTGACTTAGTTTGGCTAAATAGCTACAAGTGGAATTGCTGGGTCACATAGTAAGTATATGTTCAAATTTATAAAGCAACTGCCAAAATGTTTTCCGTGGTGGTTATACCATTTTATACTCCCACTAGCAATGCATGAGAGTTCCAGCTGATTCACATCCTCACATTCATTCTCACTCTTGGAATTGTTAGCCTTTTAATTTTAGCCATTCTACAGGATGTAAGGTGATATCCCATTGTGGTTTTAATAAGTATTTCCCTGCTGGCTAATTATGCTGGGCATCTTTTCATGTGCTTAGTAGCATATCTCCTTTGTAAAGTGTCTGTTCAACCATTTTACCTTATTTTTTTTAACCTTATCACTAAATTCTGGATACAAGTCCATTGTTAGATACACATTTTGAGAATATTTTCTGCCAGTCTTTGCTTTGCGTTTTTATTTCCTTAATGAGTGGAAGTTTTTAACTTTGATAAAATCCAATATATCAATTTTTTCTTCTATGATTAGGATTTTTTGTGTTCCTATGTAGAGAATCTTTGCCAACTCCAAGGTCAACAATGTTTTCTTCTGCATAGTTTTAGCTTTTCCGTTTAGTCTATGATCCATTTTGAATTAATTTTCGTATATTGTATAAAGCAGAGATGAAGACTCACTTTTACTTATTCGTAGAATATTCAGTTTGTTTCAGCACCATTGTTGAAAAGACTACTCTTTTTTTTTGTCATTTTTTTATTGATGTCATAATAGTTTATAACATTGTGAGATTCCAGTTGCACATTATTATTTGTCAGTCACCACATAAATGTGCCCCTTCACCCACTGTGCCCACCCCCCAACTCCCTTCTCCCTGGTAACCACCAAACGGTTCTCTCTGTCCGTGTGTTAGTTTATATTCTACATATGAGTGAAGTCATACAGTGTTTGGAAAAGACTATTCTTTTGCCATGAATTACTTCTGTGCCTTTGTGAACATTACTTGACTATATATGAGTGGGTCTATTCCAGGATTATATTCTATTCCCTTGATCTATACATCTTTTCCTTATGCCAATACCATTCTGTCTTGATGACTAGTATTTTAGTAAGTCTTGAAATCTGGTAGTTAAGTCCTCTAATAACAGTTATTATTTGCAGACAACATAATCCTCCATGTAGAAAATCCACTAGAAGCTACAAAAAAGCTACCAGCACTACTAAATGAGTTTAGCAAGGCTGTAGGATAGAATATAAATATAAAAATCAACTGTATTTTTATATACTCACATTAACAATTACAAATTAAAAATTTAAAAATATCACTTATAGTTACAGCAAAAAATGTGAAATACTTAAGATAAATCTGACA